TTTCACTATGTTGATTCTTCCTACCCAGGAGCAGAGGATATCTTTCCATTTTTTTATATCCTGTTCAATTTCTTTTTTCAGAGTGCTGTAGTTTTCAGTGTAGAGATCTTTTGCTTCTTTTGTTAGATTGATTCCTAGATACTTCATTTTTTGGGATGCTATTATAAAAGGAATTTTTTCCCTTATTTCTCTCTCAGTGAGTCTGTTATTTGTGTATAAGAAGGCCATTGATTTTTGGGTGTTCACCTTGTATCCAGATACTCTGCTAAAAGTGTCAATTAAGTGTAGAAGTCTTTTGGTAGAGTTTTTTGGGTCTTCGATGTAGAGTATCATATCATCAGCAAATAATGACAGTTTAACTTCTTCCGTTCCTATCTTTATTGCTGTAATTTCTTTCTCTTGTCTAATTGCTGTGGCTAATGTTTCCAGAACTATATCGAAGAGGAGTGGTGATAATGGGCATCCTTGTCTTGTTCCTGATTTTAACCTGAAGGTTTTCAGTTTTTGGCCATTTAATATGATGCTGGCTGTCGGTTTTTCATAGATAGCCTTTATTAAATTGAGGTATAGACCACCTATTCCAATTTTTTGCAGGGTTTTTATCATGAATGGGTGTTGAATTTTATCAAATGCTTTTTCTGCATCTACTGAGAGGATCATATGGTTTTTGTCCTTGACTTTGTTAATATAATGTATTTCATTTATTGACCTTCGTATGTTGAACCACCCTTGCATCTCTGGAATAAATCCGACTTGGTCAGGATGGAAGATCTTCTTGATAGTCCTCTGTATTCTGTTTGCTAGTATCTTATTAAGGATTTTTGCATCTATGTTCAGTAAGGAGATTGGTCTGTAGTTCAATTCAGCAGTATCCATCAGGGCCTGGGCTTTCCTTTGTTGGTAAATTTTTAATTACATTTTCAATTTCACTGACTGTAATTGGGGTGTTTAAAATATTTTTATCTTCTTTGTACAACTTTGGTAATTCATAAGTATCTAAAATTCCAGTGAATCCATCAGGGCCTGGGCTTTCCTTTGTTGGTAAATTTTTAATTACATTTTCAATTTCACTGACTGTAATTGGGGTGTTTAAAATATTTTTATCTTCTTTGTACAACTTTGGTAATTCATAAGTATCTAAAAATCTGTCCATTTCTTCTGTGTTTTCTATTTTATTGGAGTACAGGTTCTCAAAGTAGGTATTCATGATCTTCTGGATTTCTTTTGGATCTGTTGTGACTTTGCCTTTTTCATTCCTGATTGCATGGATCTGAGCCTTTTCTTTCCTTTTTTTCATAAGTGTAGCTAAGGGTTCAACTTTGGTAATTCATAAGTATCTAAAAATCTGTCCATTTCTTCTGTGTTTTCTATTTTATTGGAGTACAGGTTCTCAAAGTAGGTATTCATGATCTTCTGGATTTCTTTTGGATCTGTTGTGACTTTGCCTTTTTCATTCCTGATTGCATGGATCTGAGCCTTTTCTTTCCTTTTTTTCATAAGTGTAGCTAAGGGTTCATCAATTTTATCTATTCTTTCAAAAAACCAGCTCTTTGTTTCATTTATTTTTTGTATTCTTTTCTTAGTTAGTTTCTGTTGCATTGATTTTTGCTCGGATCTTTATAATTACCTCTCTTGTTCGAGCTTTGGGTTTTTCTTGCTCTTGTTTTTCTAGGAGTCTAAGTTTCATCGTTAAGTTGTTTATTTGAGCCCGCTCTGTTTTCCTAGTGTGGGTATTCAATGTTATGAATTTTTCCCGTAGAACTGCTTTCATTGTGTCCCACAGATTCCTGTATGTTGTATTCGCATTTTTATTTGTAAAAACTGTCTGCTTTCTTCTTTAATTTCCTCTGTAATCCACTGATTGTTTAGGAGAGTGTTGTTCAGTTTCCATGTGCTTGTGAAGTTACTACAGTTTCTTGTGCTATTGATCTCCAGCTTCATTGCACTATGATCTGACAATATACAGGGGATGACTTCAATTCTTTTGCATTTATTCAGACCTGTTCTGTGAGCCAATATGTGGTCTATCTTCGAAAATGATCCATGTGCAGCCAAAAAGAATGTATATTCTGATTATGTGGGGTGGAATACTCTGTAAACATCTATTAAGTCCATGTGTTCCAAAGCTTGGTTCAGTTCTATTATTTCATTGTTGATTTTCTGCCTAGATGATCTGTCAATTTGTGATAGTAGGGTATTTAAATCCCCCACTAAAATTGTATTAGTGCTTATTTGGTTTTTCATGTTACTTAATATTTGTTTTATATACTTGGGGGCATTTATATTTGGTGCATATATGTTTATGATTGTCAACTCTTCCTCTTGAATTGTTCCCTTTACAAGGATGTAGTGTCCTTCTTTGTCTCTCTTAATGAGTTTGGTTTGAAATTTACTTTATCTGAGAATAGGATTGCTACCCCTGCTTTTTTCTGGGCTCCTGACACATGGAGAATTCCTTTCCATCCTTTCACTTTCAGTGTAAGGGCTTCCTTTTGCACTAGGTGTGTTTCTTGTATACAACATATTGTTGGATTTTGCTTCTTAATCCATTCTGCCAGTCTATTTCTCTTGATTGGTAAATCGAGGCCATTAACATTGATGGTTATAACTGATTATTCTGACTTATTATTGTCATGTTATTGTCCTTTTGTTGACTCTTTTTACTTTTTCTCCCCTCTCCTTTTAGTTTCTTGCCTTGCCTATTTGATTTGGTCTGTTGGGCCTCATGGTATTGTGACCTTCATTGTCTTTTTCTTGGATATTGTTTATAATTCCTTGTAGTGCTGGTTTGGGGTTCATGAAATTTCTCAGGTGTTCTTTGTTGTGGTAGTATATTATTTCCCCATCTATTTTGAAAGAGAGTTTTGCAGGATTACATCAGTCTAGGTTGGAGGTTATTTTCTTTTAGGACTTGGAATACCTCACTCCAGGCTCTCCTTGACCTAAGGGTTTGTGCTGAAAAGTCTGCTGTGATTCTAATGGGCTTTCCTTTGCATGTGATTTGTTTCTTTTCTCCTACTGCTTGTAGTATTTTGTTTTTCTGTTGGATTTCTGGGATCTTGATTATTATGTGTCTAGATGTAGTTTTTTTTAATCGTGGTTAGTTGGAGTTCTATATTCCTCACTTATCTGTATGTGTAATTCTTCACTTCTGTTTGGGAAGTTTTCTGTCATTAATTCTGTGAAGAGCTTTTTTAGGTCATTTGCGTTTTCTCCTGCTTTTTCATGAATTCGTATCAGTCTTATGCTATTTTTCTTTGCATCGTCTAGAAGTTGTTGGATTGATTTCTCATGATCCCTTACAGTTTTTGAGAGACCTCTTTTTTCATGGTCACTGACTTCGATCCTCCTTCCATATCTGAAATTCTATCTTCACAATTTTTATTCTGTTGTGTACACTTTCAATAGTTTTTAATCTCCTGGATATCTGTTTGAATCTGTTTTATGGAGTCCATTTATTTCCTCTGTTGGGCATTCATTGTTTCCATTTCTTTCTTATGCTGAGTCTTCATGGCTTCTATAATGGTCTTGAGTTCATCTATTTTTTTTGTCATTTTCTGCTCTAGAGTCTCAAATCATGACTTCCATTTTGCTCATCATCTCTATGGTTAACTGGGAAATTATTTCTGATTTGAATTTTTCTAGAGCCTGATTGATCTGTTTTGTTACCTCCTGTGCTATGGGTCCGAGGTGTCCTGCTGGTTCACTATCAGACTTTTCATCCTCATTTGTCCTACTGTTTGCCATTGCTGAACTGGAAATCTGTGTTTGTGTCTTGCTTAAGTGTTTTCTCATTTTTATTTTTGTTGTTGGGTTGTCCTTCTTTAATTTTGGGGTATTACTTAAATCTTCCTGATATAGTTGCGTCTTAGTTTTTGAGTTTCTGATGACTCATAGACATCCTCATTTTCATAATATCAGAGAGAACAACTCATTAAATCAATCACAATCCTTTATCCCAATTGATACATTCAGCAGCCCAATAAGATTAAGCACAGCTTGCAAACTGACCACTTGTGGTAGACATTAATCTATCACCTTTAAACTATGTGAATTAAATTAATATCAAGAAGCAGCCCAAAATATGTTTACAGTGAAGATGCTTTTCAATATAGCATCTTTACCATTTAGGATAGGGGGTTAGACTGAGTTAGGATGAAAGGAGTTGATAAGTGAAAGAACTGGAGCAGGTTTGAAGTGAAACCAGAGGATGTAGAATGAGCTTACTATCTTTATGAAGCTATTAACTTCAGAGGGGACAGACAGAGTGCAGGAATAAGGACAAGAATATATCCCCTAAACAGTAACAGGCACTTGCCTTCCCTTGAAGCTACGGAGCCATGAGTGAAGTAAAACAACTGGAGAAAAGAACATAAAGAAAAAAACAAAAAACAAAACAAAACAAACCCCCTCAAAAAAAGGAAAAATAATAAAAGAAAAAGTCTGAGTTAGGGCAGGAACAGGAATAAAAAGGGAGATGAGGGATAATATGGTGGCGCAAGAGACTGAGTTGGAGAGAGAGGACAGAAAAAAGAAAGAAATTTTAGGGTAGAATGAGGAAAAGAAAAAAAAAAAAAAGAATTTGAAGGGCCTCCTTCAGACTATGTCTCTGTCATATTACAGCCATATGTACAGCCATATGCAGAACCAAATCCCCTGGTCTCGGCTAGCCAATGGCAGGTCCGCACAACTGAGACTGACCTCAGTCCACAAGGCCTAACTTGAGTTTCCCAGCCCACAGGGTTGAACTCCACTCAGTTCTATTACAGCTTTCCACTGCCCTTTCTTTAAAGATGTTCAAAGTTGGGAGCTCAGAAACTACCCTTCATGAGCACCTATGCCTCTGCAGAGTGGGTCCAAGGACTGGCCCAATCAGGAGGTTTGAGAACAGGCGGGGGAGGTCATGGGGGTGTTTCAAGGGCACCCACATGGCTACCTTCCTTACTGGATCTGATGGCATGCAGTCTGGGAGGTCGTGCAGCCACTGGGTGGTCCCGGGCAGGCAGCTGGAGGGAACTCCTCTGGGGTCCTTGGGTCCTTACTGGATCTGGTGGTGTGCAGTGTGGGAGGTTGCGCACCCGCTGGGTGGTCCCGGGCAGGCAGCTGGAGAGAACTCCTCTGGAGTCCTTGGGTTCTTACTGGACCTGGTGGCAGGCAGCTGGAGAGAACTCCTCCGGGATCCTTGGGTTCTTACTGGATCTGGTGGCGTGCAGTCTGGGAGGTCACACACCTACCCGCCGAGTGGTCCCAGGCAGGCAGCTGGAAAGAACTCCTCCGGGGTCCTTGGGTCCTTACTGGATCTGGTAGCACGCAGTCTGGGAGGTCGTGTACCCGCCGGGTGGTCCCAGGTAGGCAGCTGGAGAGAACTCCTCCAGGGTCCTTGGGTCCTTACTGGATCTCTGTTTTTCTTTTTTTGACAAGAACATAGAAAGATAACAAAAGAACAAAATAGACAAAAGGAGCTATGTCAAAAGAATATGAAGCTGGAGGTAGTGGCACACGCCTGTATTCCCAGTGTAATCCCAGCACTCGGGAAGCTGAAGCAGGTGGATCAGCATGAGTTTGAGGCCAGCATAGGCTACACAGTGAGTTCAAGGACCAGCCTAAACTACGTAGTGAGATCCTGTTTTAAAAAGAAAAAAAGAAGGGCTGGAGGTTTAGCTCAGTGGTTCTGCCACCTGCCTCGCAAGCACAAGGACCCGAGTTGAATCCCCAGTACCAAAAAAAAAAAAAAAAAAAAAAAAAAAAAAAAAAAAAAAAAAAGAAAAGAAAATGCTCTATATCACCAGGCATCTGCTCACCTGTTAGAATGGCTATAATGAAAAAGGCTAAAGAAAAGACAAATATTATTAAGGATGGGGAGAAAGGGGAAATCTCATACAATGTTTTTAGAAATACAAATATAGCCATTATGGAAAACAATGTGAAGTTTCCTCAAAGAACTAAAAACAACTACCATATAATCCAGCAATTCCATCACTGGGTACTTACAAAGAAAAAATGAAATTAATGAATGAAGGAGATACCTGTGCTTTCATGCTTACTGCAGCATTATTCACAATCATGTACTCAATGTCACTGTACTTAAAAATCATTAAGATGGTAAATTTTGTTACATATCTTTTACTATGACTTAAAAAGATAAAGTAAGAATAAATAAAACTTTCTATTCAGAGAAAACATGATCATGGATATATAATATGTTAAGGAATGTTCAAAAATCTACTAGAACAACTGAAATAAATGAATTTAGTAAGACACAGGTCCACTATTTAAAAAGCAAGCTATGTATATATTGAAGTGCAGTAATGGCAAAACTTTTAGAGACCAGGTGCCCAAATTGCAACCTAAAACTCACTTATTTATCACAAAGTACCAACACTGCAGTTAAACCTAAACAGTAAGGTTTCAGGTTGGCAAAAACAACTCATACAACTTGTGATATCATCACAGAGAGGGCTCTGCATACTTGCTGTGGCACGTGCCATAGGTTCTCCATCAGGGATCTAGAGACATCCCTCATATGAAATGTATACAACAAAGAAAATAAAGACAAGTAATTCCCATAAAATTGAGGATATGGATGATCTCTAATTGGAAAGATGAAGGCCATGATTAGGAGGAAATATAATTCAAAACAAAAAAAATGAACTGAACCATCTATCTTGGTCACTTTCTTTGTCACTGGGATACCATAATTAATATCTACAACTTAAAGCAGAGATTTACCTTTGTTCAGAGTTTCAAAAGTTTCATTCCATTGCTGATGGGCTCAAATGAAGAAACATCATGGAGGAAGGGCCAAGAAAAGGAAAACCACTCCCATCATGGCAGCCAGGAAACAGAGAGCAAAGGGAAGAGGCAGGAGATATACCCTTCCAGGTCATGCCCCCAGTAACCCACCTCTTTTGACTTTTTGGATTCTCCCGTGGGGTGGCTTCATTCATTGAGGTCTCCTCAGCAAACAATCAATATTCCTGGCATTTCTAATTTCATGGGGTTTGCAATGCACTTTGGCTTCACTCTCATGGCTTCACACATTGCCTTCTTAAGGGAATACTACTTGGCCTCCCAGTTATTCTTCTGAATACTTTCTCATAACTTTTGCATTCTGCATGCCCCTAAAATCAGCAGCACCTGGATGATGCCAAGGTCTACTGCCAGCTTGAGCAGTAGCTAAGCCCTCTTGGACCATGGTTGCAGAACCCTCTGAGTGGCTGGATGGCTGAACACTGTGAACCATATCCTGGAAAACCAATTCCTTCTCTATTAAGTTGCTGCAGCAGGATTTTCTTCTCAAAGTCTTTCACTTTTACACACTTGAGCCTGCAAAGGGCAGAAATTTGCTGATTCCTGAGGTGGCCCTCAAGGGATCTTTCCTATTGTCCTGATGCAAACTATTTGGCTTTTTTTATTTTTTTACACACTAAAAAGCTTTTAAATTTATTAATTTAAGTAAGCATATGACATCTCCTTTATGGATAAATCAGGTGCTATTTGGCTTCTTTTTAATGATAATCTTTGCAGTTACCATGTTCTCCTTTGCTCCAACATGCACACATTTCCTTTCTGGCAAAACTGAATGAAAACTTTTTTAAATGGGTATTTTATTCCTCATTCAGTAGATCTTGCTAAAATCTTCAAGCAGTACCCATGCAAAGCCTGAAGGCTGAGCTATCTTGAAATTTCCTCTGCTAAATTAGCCCACCACCCTGAATCTCAGTCTTTTGCAAAGACACAGGACATAAACAAAATGCAGACAAATGTTCTGTCACAGTGTAACATGCATGGTCTTGAGTCCAATTGAAACTTTCTGAGCCTAGCATTTTATCTCCATTTGTTAGTATTCTGGTCTTCTGAGCTCTGAACATAATCTCCCATCAAGCTTGGCCTACATCCTTTTAGGGCTTCTCTAGCTGGCATCTCTAAACCTTTCCAAACACCTCCTGCAAGACAGTTCCAAAGGCTTAATTACATGGTCAGGTATATTCACAGCAATGATTCCACTTCTCTGCTACCAAAATCTGTCTTAGTTACTTTTCTCAACACTGAAACAGAACATGCAACCCCACAACTTAATGGAAGAAAGCTTTATTTTGGTTTTAGAAGTTTCAGTTCATGGTTGATAGTTTCAAACACAGAAATAGCATTGTGGAAGGGCCAGGTGGAAGAAAGCTGCTCACATGATGGTGGCCAGGAAGCAGAGAGAGAAGGAAGGATCCAGAAGGAAGACACACACTTTCAGGTCACACCACCAGTAACCCACTTCTGACCAGGCCCTGCCTCCCAACAGTATACTCAGTCACAGAACTCAACCAAAAGAATTAATCCAAGTAATTTTTAACAATATTAAAATGTCATCAGGGTAAAGATCAAAAGAACCCTAAGCCTATGCTGAACTCTTAATTATAAAGGCTTCTTTGTAAAGAGGGATAGGTTAGCAATTCTAATACTACATTGTTATTCTAGTATTAAGCAAGTAACTAAAGATGATGGCAGCAAGATTTCTCACAAATGTGGGAAAAAAACTGCTAAAACAGAAAAAAATCTTGTGGCCTGAGTCAGAGGCATGAGGGTGAAATGATGATGGATTTTAATCTAGACAGATATTGATGTGTGTGTGTATATATATCCATATTCTTTTACACAGATGTGTGCACACAGGGTACATGTGTGTGTGTTGAATCTAGAGTGTGTGATTGATTCATGGTGGGACTAGGCCCAAGGACACTAGGATTAAGGGCATGAGTGCTACTCATCCTAAATAGCCTGAATAAGACAAAAGGGGCAAAAGAACAAGGTTATGGTCCCCTTGCTGCTTTGCTACCTTCTGGCCACCACAAACTGTTTCTCCTTTACTAAACCACCCTGCCTTGAAGACAGCTCATTATGGACTGAACTTCTACAAACAGTAAGCCAAATAAATTATTCCTCTTTTAACTTTGGAAATTGGATATTTTGTCTCAGCAATAGAAAGGACATGCTTTTTGTCAACTGAAAGGATCTAGAACCAAAGGCACCCTAGTAGCACACTTCATGATTTCCAAATTATATTCCTTAAAAGGAAAAAGGGACTCTTAACAAATTGCTGATTTCAATGTTGGGTTGAGCCTAGAATATCTTACTGTGCTAAAGAGCAAAGAAAACACTCAATGTAGGTTAAAGGAGTGCCCAATGGCCCAATGTGAAACAATCTGAGCATCAGTATAAATAAGAGTAAACTATAATCTATTGAATAAAGAAAAAAATCCAGAAAGCTATAAGTACTAGAGAAGTGAAAGTTCTTCTTTTTAGCAGGTATACCAGTAAGAAATATAATTTCTAAACTACTCAGTTAGAATATAATTTGGGTACCATTATACTAATAAATTATTTAGGCAAATACTATCATGAAAGCTAATTAGTAAGTAAAAGTTTGAGAAGTAACAGGACACTTAGCCTCAAAATACTACCCCACAAAACACTTATAAAAACTTACAAAAGAAAAACTAACTGCATATAAAGTAACCTAATAGACACTACCTTAACCAAGTGATTGATATGAACATCAACAGAAATGGGATGATCTGACAGCATGTAGCATCACAAACATCTTTTCTGTAGTATTTCTGAAAAAACAAAGTGTGAAGTGAATTCAATTATGAGAATATATTAAATAAACCCACACTCAGGACATTCAGTAAAATAATTGGCTTTAACTATTAAAAATCAAGGTCATTAAAAAAACAGAACAAGGGCCAGGGATTTACTCAGTGGTTCCACCACCTGCCTTGCAAGTACAAGGACCTGAGTTTAATCCCTGGTTTAAAGAAAAAAAAAAAAAATTAAAGAACTGATCCAGACTAAAGGAGATTAACAACTAAACAGACACAAAAACTAAATCCAATGCATAATTCAATTTTATTTTGCTGTAAACATCAACACTGGCAATAATGGCAAGATCTGAATAAGATCTACAAATCACATGATAACATATCAGTTTCATTTTGATTAATGTAGCTATGTGATACAATGTCTTTGATTTTAGGAAATGTGTATGAAAGTACTTAGGGAAATGGGCATGACTACAACTGAAATGAAAAACAAAAAAGATTTATAATATATTATATACATAAACACATATATACACATAGAGAAACAGAAAGTAACAGCAACAGTTAAGAAATAGGGAGAAGAATAAAATACAGAAAAATGTCAGTATAGGGGAACTGTGTAAAAGGTATACAGAGAAATTCTTTGTACTCGTGTTATACTTTTTTCTGTACATCTGAAATTATGTCAAAACAAAAAATAAAAATCTCACAAAAAACAAGACATTTCATGAAAGCAGAAAGATGAGAAATTGTTTTCACTTCAGTTTTTTGCAAATTAGTATAAAACATGAAAATGACAATATTTAATGGCATA